CCCCAAAACCCCAAAACCCCAAAACCCCGGTTTAGAGAGTTTTGATTGAAATTTTAGATGGTTAAAGATTTGATTGACAAGTTAGAGGGTTGGGTTTAGTGATTTGAAGAATATGAGTATTGTAAATCCATTATGGATAAATATATAATCAGTCAGCTTGATATTAATGGCTTAATTATTTATTTCTCTTGATCACTATGCTTGTCAAAGCCATTCTGATTATTCTCTGAGATACTATGATTCATCTCGATCTCTTGATCTTCATCTAAATAAGAGTTAAAATATGAATAAATGAAACCTTACTCTTCTCTTCTTCAATTTTCTGTTTCTTTTTGTTTTTAAGATCCTCTCTAATCTCTTTTATCCTAACTTGAGCTTTCTCAAGAAGTTCAGGCTTGATAGGATTTTTATCTTCAACAATGTAAAAGTCATCTATAACTTCAGGACATGCTATTTTGATGCTTCTAAAGTTCATAATCTTCCTCCATAAATTTCTTGAACAGCCATAAATTATGTAATGGAACCATGTAATTATAGGATCATAGAATCAGTAATTAAAGAAGAATGCAAAAGACCCACTATACCACCAAGTCCAGGATACTTTCCATCCAAATTTAGCTGTAAACTCCATAATGTACCACATAACTGATCCAAATATGGCTGCCATAACAAAATAAGCCATGAAGAATCTGAGATACATTTCTTTAAGAAGGCTTTTTATCATCTTTCCATCTTTTACTTGTTGATAGCTTTCTCTCTGATGGAATCGAGCATCACTGATCATGAAGATACCCCAGAATATGTAACTAGTAGCCATAGTCACTAAAGGTGCTATTAGTGAGATCCACATCTCACTAAAGGCTAAATTTCTTGCTTGCCTGTCAAAGTTAGGTACTACCAAAGGATCTTTTGTGTTGTTAAAAAATACAGCGACCAAGAACCAGATGAGAACGAGATTGGTGAACAGCATACTAACCCGTACGTGTCTTGGACATAGATAAGAAGTCACTAAGAATACATTCAGAAATGTTGAAGAATGCTTGAACATCTGCTTCAGGTCTCTATTACGCTCGAATATTTCAAGTTGTGTAGGCATCTTGTATTTTCGTTGATCGAAATCATCTTCTTCATACTATGAATCAAGATTATTGTTATTCAAGCACAAATAGTTAAGTTAAGTGGACTTACTTCAGATTTTGTTTGTGAAGAGTCATCTTCTGATTTAGAAGACTTTGAAGCACTCTTTTCCCCTTTAGATTTCTTCCCCTTGGTATCTTTACCATTCTTCTTATCTTTACCATTTTTCTTATTTCCTCCATTCTTCTTGTCTTCTCCATTCTTCTTTCCAGGGGAGTTGATACTAGGAGCAGTTTCGGTTGGATTTTTCTTGATTTTTTTCTTTTTAAACTTTTTCTTCTTTGGTATAGGACTACTACTAGTTTTTCTCATATCAGGTATTTCCTCCTTGTCCATTGAATTTTTAGGTAGGCCACTTCGCTTTTCTTCTTCATGTAGCTCACCTCCTTCCATTTCTGCATTATTATCAGGAATATTGGTTTGTTTCTTCTTTTTCTTTTTAATAATTCTCTTTTTCTTCTTAGGTTTTGTTGCTTTGTAATAATTTTCCCCGTAGATATCTAAGGTATCAGTTGTCTCATTGACTTCTTTAGTTCTATCCTTTGGTGCAATTTTCTCTTCTTCAGGAGGCATTCTTTTGCCATCATGGCTCTTAGGGCTATCTTTATTAGAGTTGTAGTCTTCATTTTCAAAGTCAAATCGTTTTTCTTTCTCATTTAGGAATTTCTTTCCTTCACCAATGCTTGAGCCATCTGTGCCAGGATCTTCTTCATTAAACACCTGTACTTCAATTATGATTTTTTCTATTTTCTGCCTCATCTTTTTGAGAGTCATTCAATCTAGAACGATTGCACATACCATTGAGATTATGTATGTGATAATCACAGGCCATATCAAGTAATACCCAAAGGACTGATCCCAATACTTTAATGCATAATAGTTAAGGTACAGTCCTATCTTAGGCAGGTTCCTTTTTGATTCGGAGGTTGGCTCATAAACTCCTCCAATTGTGGTCAGGTGGGTACATCTTCACATGAATACACTTGTGTACACAAATGTATTGTTGACATCAGAGCATGTAGTACATGGAAGTTTGACATTGTCAACAAATCCTTGCCCACAACCATCTTTTAAAAATTTCTTCTGAGCTGTATTAAAGTACTGTCATTTCAAAAATTCTTTATCATAACCGGAAGACTTCTTATAAGGAAATACAATTGAAATAGGGCTAGTTAAATTTTTAATTGAAATTGGATTGCCTCCTGCATCATAAATCAGCAAAGAAGTCATATTTGTTCCAGTATTAGTATATTTGTCTCCATTGAGAAGGTGAGGGTTTGCAAACCACTTGATAGCAAGAACATAAATTTGATGCTTATCAGAAGCAATGTCTTGATGATCACTGAGGAACCCAGTTGGTATCTCCCAATAAACATCACTATTTCTAATAAAGTACTGCTTTCCTTCAAAATCTGGGGGATACCCAATCGTAGCTTTAAATTCAAACGCAGTATCCCCAATAAAGGTATATGAGCTTTCTTTTGTTCCAAGCCTTGTTATAAATTCTTTAATAAACCGAGTTATAGAATTATGGATTCTGATAGCATATTCATCCAATTCTTTCCTCTGCTTCTCTTCTTCAATAAGGACATCGTTAAAGTGCATTCCTGGGTATCTAATATGTGATGGGTCTGTTTGAATCCTCTTTTTCTCTAAATAAATTTTGGCTAACATTCTCTCTGATAAATCAAAATACATTGTAATTGAGTTGTGAACAGTCTTTTCTTTAGTTGTAGTCCCTGAATAAATCTTGCTATCCAAAGCTACGAGTTTATAATTCTCAAGGTTAGAAGCTTTCTCAAACAATATAACTAATTTTTCTAGTTCTGAATATGCTAAAGGATCTGGATCTTTAATAATACCGTTGAGTGAGGAAATGAGCACATCAAAATCAAACAAATCTAAGCTGCTCATTGATCCATACTTTGCCCAAGTATGGGCCATCATATTCGAAACAAGAAGCTTGATGTTAGCATAGCTTAGAGAGGTATATTGTCAATTTTGCCCTCCATATCCTTGGTTTCATTTGCAATAATTTGAACCTGACAGTCTGTCAAGATCTCCATAGTAGCACTGAAAGTCAACTGTACCAAGATGACTCTGAACAGGAGTTCTATAATATTTTGGTCAAATAATTTCGAGATAAGCAGCTGTAGATAAAGTCACCTCATCACTAGTAAAGCTTGTTGCAGCAAGAGCTGTTGTCAGAGTGTCCATTGATGAATCGGTATAAGTCATAAGGACATCCTTCAAAGTGATTCACAGTGTTCTTACAGCATAATATTCATCCATAGCATCAACTCATAAATCTATCGGAACTCTTGTGGTTGCATTAGTGGCAATGGCAATATGAGGAAGATCAACATCAAACATGATATTATTTCCAGCATTCTTTAGAACAAAAATTCTTGCATCATAGGAATAATAAAATTTGAACTTTAGCCTTTGAACAGTGTCATCAATATTATCATACCAATCAGCCAATCGTATTCTATACTTTGAAAAACATTCTTACCTTAAAGTTGTTCTTCCATCTTCTGGCTTGGTCTGCCCTGTTGTAATCTCCTGAGTCATGGTTCCAACAGTAGGAGCTGGATTGACATAGAGCTCAGTTAGACCTTTACCGATATCCCCCATAGAATTAGTAACTTGAATCATAATCTTTATACTTGTTATCTCAGAGAAATATGTGAATGAGGTCATTCTCATTTTTAACTGCAACTGAGTATTATAAACCTCATTTGTTAGAGGATTAAAATCCATAGTGAATAAGTTATCAGTCACCTTGGTATATGCCGGAGATATCTGACTCCACTCAACGTTTGAAATTGTCCCTCTAGTGTTGTTTATAAAAGCTTTTAAATAAATTTGTTTGTTCCTTGGAAGCTTGTGAAGATATGGATCCTTAAGAATCTCTACACTTAAATATTTTGTCACATTTTGTTTCACTCATTCATAATTTGTATTTTGAGCTATGAATTCAGGTGTAGGACAAATCTCTGTACACATTCCATATCTCTATAAGAAAAATCAGAATCTGTATATAAAAAGGAACTCAAGTAAACATATTTTATAAACTTTGCTCTAAATAGTATTGTCTTACAGGATCTGATGAGCCCTCTTTGTATAAATATTTGATAGGGTTTCATGTAGTGCAACCAAACATTTTGTTATTCTCACAAATTTGTCAGTCTAAGTTTCATATTTGGCATTCATTTCTTTCAGTATTAATAAAGTTTCCATCTCCTCAAGAAGCAACTCATTCTTTTACTTCGTACCTGACTGATTTAAATGTAACTGTTTCAACTTTTGCAACTGATTTAGATGCGGGACAAGAAGATACACAAGTTCCTTGGTCGATATACTCAGTAGCATGATTAGTACAGATACTTCAATCTGATGAAGTTGGACCGGTGCAGGATAAACATGAAGAGTGGCATCCAATGAGTCCTAAATTTACATTTTTCTGATACTCCTCTCGAATATGGGACCATTCATTAATTCCTTGTTTTATTCCTCTAATTAAGAGGAAATCTGCATGAATATTTCCATTATCACATCCTTTTAAGTCTAAATTAGTTATTGTTATATGAGTATCGTTTACATTTTTCATGTATACCGATCCAAATGGCATGAGAGTGGAATTACAAGTTGACCCAGAGATTTTTATATCAATATGAATAGATTTAGTCTGCCAAGTTCCAGTAGTTATTCCAGACCCAGATTGCTTGGCAAGAACATTACTAATCTGAAGTAGGTTTACTCCTTCTATTATTAAGGTAGATCCAAACACTTTTCCAGATGGTGCTTCAATAATGTTGAAACTTCTTGAAAGAAACATGTGATAATAGATTGCATTTGTTCCATTAGTATTATTCCCGAACAAATACAAATTGCTTGACACATCGCTAGAAAAAGAGTCTGGATAAAATCCAATATAGTAAATTTCTCCTGGAACCATCCCTGTACTGGTAGCTGTTGATAAAGTTATATTTCAAACTCCTGTAGAGGTTCAAGCAATATTTCCTTGTGTAAGCAGGGGTACATTAGCCTCATCTAAAGTACTTATTTCATAAAGGATGCTTGATTGGACAAGTACTATTTCTCCATCATATGTAATTGCTCCTCTATATATACCTAATTTTCCTTTTACTGTCAATCTTTTTGAAGGATATACATTTTCTCCTCCAAACGAGAACTGAAGCTGAGCATCTGTACCATATAGTTCTGAACTCCCATAGCTTGGATAAATACTAGATAGCTCAGGTAAAGAGGTATATGCAGAATTACCATATTCTTTAGCAATAAAGGCATAATTGTGGCCAGTAATAAGGCCAATTCTAGAGTATGAGGGATCTCCTCCGATAGAATTTGATATCCAGCACATATGAATTTCTTCTTTCTCATTTGCATCAATGCCTGAAACTCCTTGATCATTTCCTAACCAAAATAAGCTAAAGTAACCATATTGATAGTAATACACTGGAGATAAAATTTTAGAGCTGTTGCAGTCGGTATCTGTATCTTCTTTCCAAGCAAATACTACTTTATCACCTTCTGTTAAAGGAGTATCAAATTCAAAATACAAGGGTTTATCATTTATGTTAAAGGTATATAAGTTATTTGTACCTAGCTTGGGAGTTCCTGTAGCGATCCACCAATGATCGTTTATCCAATCTAAATAAAGGTTACTGTCCTGAGCAAATTTTGGAAAGTGACACATTTTGAATTTCTTTGACTCTTGGAAATCCTTAGTGACTAATGGAGCATACATATTATTAATCTTTCGTTCAATAGAGACATCTGTTGCTTTCGGAGCATTTCAATCTTCAGAGAACCTAATTATATCTCCGTAGCCTTCATCTCCACCTGAAACATCTATCTGTATTTCAAGTCCAAGAATAATAAATGTAGAGATATCAGATGGATCTACAGTTGTAGATGTTTTCGTGATATAAAGCTGGCCAATGTCAATATTCTGGTTAGTTGTAGTTAAATAGCAGGCAAAATAGTGCTTTCCATCTTCCATAATTTCTAAAGCTGTAGTATTATCAACACTCCAGTCATTATTCACAGTTCTTGTTAGAGTCAATTTGAGGTTTCCAATCTGTCAATCTTTATCTTTTATAAAAATCTGGTCTCCAACTTGAACAGTATGACTGGAGCTTTGAACATCGAATAAAGAGACTTCTGATAATTTCCAAGTTTTCGATAAGATACTCGGCATCTCTTTCACTGCTTTACAATTAGCAACATCATGGTAATATCAGAGTTTCAGACTATTAGAGTTGGAATGAATAAAGCTTGGATAGTCTGAGTTTGTTTTTGGGCTAAATGCTACTCTCAAAGGCTCAACAGAGCTATGTTTGGAAGAATCTCTTATCATTTGTATTTCATCTTTATCAGTGTAATTCTCATCCAACTTCCAGTAAGCAATGAGTCTTGGATCATCAAAGGAATGAATCTTATATATCCTTAGTCGATCATTGATCATTTGAGCAGACCCATGAAATTTATCAAATAATCTGACTTCTTTTATATACCCTGTGAAGGAGTTAGGTGAGTTATAACTCAACCCTCCAAAGAAAATCGAATTTGAAAATTTATGGTAAGTTATAGGAGTGTGATCAGTTTTACTTCCAGACTCAACAGCATCAACTTTTCGACCATTAGCAACGACTATTCTTTGCTCAATTTGATGTAACCCAGCATTTTTATGCTCTCTTTGTGAAACTGAAACATAAAACCAATTTCCAGTTGAAATTTGGTTTAAAGAGCCTAAATAAGAAGGTTCTATATATGCTGAAGCTCCATTCTCAAATAAGAATCTCACTTTTGAACTTACTATCTTGATATGAACTCTATCGAACAAGTTTATTAGATAACTTTGAGTCCCTAAGACTGTTGCTTTCGCCCAAAACGATAATGTAAATTCTTTTGGCATTGAAGATAAAATGGGAGGACCTGGGACTTCTATTCCCTTACTCAAAACATTGAATTGTAAGAGGTTACTACTATCCTTTCAATTTGTATCATTATTGTATTCATAATGAGTGTAATCATTCTCACTCACTCCATCATAAATTAGCTCAGGATATGAATTCTTTGGGCATGATTCATATCAATGGCCTTCTAATCTTCCATAAAGTCCATTAACACATCTTTCTAAGCATCTACCATGAGATTCGTAACTTCCAGAAGGTCAGATTCACTCACTTGATATAGAAGTTCTGTCAAGAAGACTTGTTCCTCATTCTCCATTAGCACAGCATAGAGAACACTGGTCACTCCTAGGACCGAGACAATTCTTACAAGAATAGTGACAATCTACTCAGTGCTTCTTTCCGGTTGATGAGACCAAATCAGTATGCTGATAAGTTTGAATATTTCATGATGAGAGACATTCTCCTTTGTACAGAAACTCAGTCTTCAATTCATCACAAAAGATGCAATCTTCTTGTTTTGTGTATCTATTTCATCTATATCAAGTTAAGTTGCAATCATTTGTAGCATATAGTTTAAGAGGAGTATCGAACTGGGTGATCATCAAGCCATTCACTTCAAATTTTGATGCAGGAGAGAAGAACATAAACTGAGGTTCATAAACATCAGCAATAGAAGGGAAAACTTGCATAGGGATAGTTGTAAGCCCATCAATAGCATATCCTTCAATATCCACTAGATGAAACTTTGAGTTTATCCAGATCACACCAAAATATTCCTTATCAGCATCCATTCCCCAAATTGATCCTGTAGTTGGGTGAGGCAAAAATTTATTATGTATCTTTGCCAAAATATAAGTACTATGTAAATGAGTCACTAGACTGATAGCTTCGTCATCAGCTGGAGACCCCATAACTAATTTCTCTTCAATATATCCAGTTTCAGGTCTGAATTTGTACACTAAAATCTCTTTTTGTATGACTCCACCTGTGGTAGTGCTTCCATCAAGACTTGTATTAGAGTAAGAATTTAAGACAATAATATTTTCTTGTAATCCGACATAGTAATCAGCATAAGTTATGTCTCCAAATATTTTGACCCATTTGATCAAACCATTAGCATCAGGATTAGAATTTTGATTAGCTGTAGAAGGCTTCGAGAGATAATAAGCAATTATTGCAACATTTGGGTTATTCTCAGTTATTTCATCTTCTGCATCATATATCTTCCTCCCAAGGTAGTCATTTGAATTTATCTGAAGAGCAATATAAATTAAATCGTTTACAAGATCAACCTTGACATCAACAAGCTTTTCTGAGACTGTAGGATCATGAGACTCAATCAGAGTCTCAGTAATGTTATAAATAGTATTAAATTTAGCAAACATATAGTTGTATTGCCCCTCATGTGCTGGATCATGAGCAGAAGCTCCAATACCAATTATATATTCACTGTCTCTACCAGTGTATCTACAATCAGAGTAAATGTGAAGGGGATCAATTTGGATGGTATAGGGAATAACTTTGCAGTACAAAGAACTGTATGAACTAATAGTGCTGTTGAAGTATAAATTTCATACTCTAAGCTCTTTTGTGCTAGTATGAAGACCTACAAAGTATTGCAAAACTCCATTATATTGTCACATCCCATTGATTTGATATCCAGATATTGACACACTATTTGAAGATACAGTGAGGTTCGAATGCAATACTTTCATAAACTTATAAGAATCTTCATTAGAAAAGGATTCTCTAGATAATAAATACACATAGTTTTCATCATAATCAACTAGCTTTCCTCGTTCTTGTAATGGAGTATCAAACGAAAGATGAGGGAAACTGGTCAAGTTTGTGTAAGCCTTAAAGAAGGTCGTGTTAGTCAAAGTTACCACCTTTGCTCAATCTCAGACATCATACAGAAGCCAGATTCCCAGAAGGAGGACCCATCTAGGAAGATCTGTGTTTCATATTTTTCTAATTTTCATTTATAAAACTCAATTTTTATAGATCTAAAAGGGGTTTTGGGGTTTTGGGGTTTTGGGGTTTTGGGG